CTGGTACCTAATGTGATATTGACGGATCGTGAATTGGGACTTATCAAAGCAATGCCCGTAATATTTCCAGATTCCGCTCATTTCTTGTGTTTGTTTCACATCAATAGAAACGTGGAAAAAAATGCATCGAGATTTATTGGTAGTACTAAACACGGGCTTATATTTCGGCGCATACATTGGGCAAAATTAGTGGAATCAAAAACAGAAGAAGAATACAATGATAATTACGAGGAAATGGTTAGACGCTATGGTTGTTACCTCAAATTGATATCATACCTTAACGATACTTGGCTAATTTACAAGCACAAATTCGTCAAAGCATGGACTAATAAGATTTTGCATTTTGGGAACACGTCGACATCTAGGTATGTTGGGTTTCATTATCGTCTTGTATTTTATATTATATTGTGGGCGCTTTTATTTATTAATTGTTATTTTAATGGCTATTAACAGGGTGGAAAGTGCTCATAAATCGTCGAAGGGTTGGATTAATGCTTCTACCGGTGGTGTGAACACCATTCAATATCAGCTCGACTCCGGGGTTGAGTATCAACTAACCAAGATCAAGGGTGAGTTTTCAAAATGCAGTTTGATCCGGCTGCACTCATCATCGTATCCGGTATTTCAGGGTTTGATATGCAAAGTCACACATAAAGCATTAAATTTGCTTGATGATGAGCTAAAAAAACCGGGGTTTCAAGACCCATCTCTTTGTGATCACGTTTTGTGGGATAGTCATGCACTTCCTTGTGCATGCCGAATTGCGTTGAAAATCCAGCAACGTGAGACATTTATATCTATGGATCTACATCCATTTTGGAGTACCATGCACGTTGAAGAACCAGAAATACCCGAAGCACAGATGGATCGTGAAACAAATATGAGAGACCGAATAATCAGACTAGCCACGGAAGTGTTAGAAAAAGATTATATGACTCAAAAGATGACTGCTGATTACATGAATAGCCCCCGTTTTCTGGAGCACGGAGAACTCAAGAACGTTGAAGTTCCCGTGCTCCAGAAAACGGGGGCTTCAATTTTTTTTTTTTTTTTTCCGAAATTTGCTAGATCTATTCTTAAACACGTGTTTTTACCTAAATTGGAAATGAAACTAATTAAAAGTAGTAGGAAATCGAAAACTTACCGGAATCGAGCCTCGTTTGTACGGTTTGAATGTCGAAAAAAATTTACGAAATTCAAATTTCTAGAGAGTGTTTGGGAGTAGGAGAGAGAATTTGCAAGTTGGAAAAATTAAAATGAAAAAGCTACCGCTGCAAATAAGCCAATTTCAGTAAAAGTACCGCTGCAAATAGTAATACCCTTTGAAATTTGACCTAAGGCTACTATTAGTGAAAATGGGTTTTCTAGATTTTATACTCGATAAATATTCATGGGGTGATCTTAAATATTTAATTTACATATAATAATTAATAACACACACGTATGTGTACAACTGCTTAGTATATAGTTATTCATATAGATCTGCGGTTCAAATCTACCAATTAAATATACTAGGTGTAGTTAGTATTTCATAAACCGTGAAAATATTACACAGATCATTAAAATGTTTTAGATCGATATTTTATCTTGTCATTCTTATATATGTACCGGTGGGAAGCTTTTTTTCTTCAATTTGACTTTATACGAA